AAGAGCAAAGGGAATAAAAATCAGAAAACAAAGCTACCTTTCATATTCACTAATTAATTGCCACATTTTCATTGGTATCACCTAGTAGACAGATAAAAAAACGCTGACAGAAATATGCTACAACAGTTGGAGAATTTGCACACTAGGTACGAATTATTCTTACTTTCCACATCAGAAGAACTATTTGCTTACCCTGAAGTAATAATACACACTAAATTCTCTTTGCTCTTCCTGTAAAAAAGAGGCTGCTCTAATCAATAAAATCAGTTACCTTGGAACAGCAATGTATTTGATTTTCTTTGAGTTAAGGTCTGTTACTTCCAAGTATCCAGCAGCTTCTGGAGGAGTGACATCTGCAAATAAACAAACATGTTATTTTCCTGCTGCATGATTGACTGCTTATTGCATTTGCATTTAGCAGATTAAATTTAAACATTTTATTATGCAGTACCTGTCAGAAAATGATAAGCTTTCACATTCAACACAGGAGTGTAACTTGCAGATACAGAATTGCTTTATTCTTATGATAGTGAGCAACCAGACAGGCACAATTATAAAAGAACAATGTATTTGTATAGCAAATGTCTAAATTACACACAAATATAGCTGTGCTCACAAAAGCCCTAATCAGGCATTACTGCAATAACTCACTCACTGCTTTCATCTGTCACTGAAGATAATGTCAGCTGTATATCTGATTTTAAAAGCATACTGAAGACCATTTCAAAACATTGTGCTTATGATTCCTACTTGAAAATTTCTCAGTATTAACCTAAATGTCGTTGCCTTAAATTGAACTACTCATTTTGCAGGTATATTCTCAGCATGCAAAGATTTTATAACTTCGCAGTAAATAGCCCTAGACTATCTGGCATTTAATATTCTGTTTACAGAGACTTTAATGAATACAGCTAACATTATGCTTCCACCCTCAGAAATAAATTTGTGTGTGTGTGCCTACACTGGCTTTTGCCAACATATGAGTACACTCTGCCTGGGCTCAGAAGTGGCTTCCAGTTAGGACCTGCCTTTCATCTGCTTGGAATAGACTGAGGAACTTAAGTTTTTCAGAAAAGAAACCAGAAGACTGAATTACATCGCATAGTATGGGTACAAAATACCATTGTCACAAGATGAAAGCAAGATGATTTCTTTCTGAAACACTGTATCTTTCAACTCCTTGAAATGAAGGAGAGCCTGATGTTACCTGCAGAAGTGTTGATGCTTGCACACAGCACACACAGAAAAGACCAGTGAGATCAGTAGTATAAGGGGATCTAATATTAAAATGAGTATAAAGAATAACCCACAGCAGCCCTTTATGCGTATCTTCTGTATCTATAGTATGCATATCTGCAGGAGTAGCACATCTATTCACTTTACCCATCTTCAGAATAATGGAAATGTCAAACATATTGGAAATAGCAAAGAGGTATGGAAAAATGCAAGTTTGTGTGCCACAGAGCACTTTTGTTTTGCTTAGATTTTGTTTAAAATGTGCTCTCTCTTTTAGTAGTAATGGAGACTGAGATACACATTAAAAAATTCTGATGAAGATCTAGAACATGGAGCTGATACTGAACTGGAAGGGGTAGAACTGTGTGACAATAACTAAAAATTAAGTTAATAAATTAAAGAGAGAAAACTCAAATAAACCAAATTAAATTATAAAACCCAAAGGATAGCAGAGTAAGAAGCTGAAGAAAAGCTAACCAGCTGTTTAAATGCAGCACAGGAAAAACTGGCCAGGCCCCAGAACTGCAGTAGAGAATTTTATGATAAAAAATGAACATCAGACCTAAACAAGTGTAGTTTGTTCCTTTGTTGCTGAAGCCCTGATGGAAAACAATAGCTATGTACAGCTGTAGGCATCAAAATATAAGGAAAACAGAGACATGAGAGACTCTTGGGTGTGACAAAGAGGTTACAATAGATGGGCTATAAGGACAAATGAAAGGAGATTTTTTTTTTCTCTAAAAAGACTTTTTTTAAAAAAACCCAACAACAAACTATGTCCCATAGTATCAAAAAGATCCTTATAAAGAGGACAATATTATCCTGACTGAGAGGAGGTGACATGAAGTATTCAGATTTGTTCACAGCAAAAAAAAACTAGATACTAGGAAAAGCTTTTCTTATATAAGGAGAGTGAAGCATTGCAATAGGCCAATTGTTTTACAAACACCAGTTAAGAAGTCTAAACATGTGTCATCCTGTCCCTATATAAATAGGTGGACCAGATGATGTGCTGAGGTTATTCCTGTAACTGTGTGTGTTACACTACATGCTGTTCCAGTTACTGTCACCCTAACAGATATATGCACTCAGTAATAGACTTTTATTTTATATCCATATATAGAAAGTGCTGAGAATCCAAGTAAATATTTGCTCTCAAGTAGCGCTCACTTCTATAGCCTTGTTTTTAGAATAAACATTGATACTCATTTGCTGGATTCTGCCATGATCTCTTGTCCAAGTTTATATTTTGTGGCCATACATCTATTTGGCAGTTTTGGGGGAAATTACTACTTGTTTTAGTTTCTTTTCAAACGTAACTATTATCCTGGTTTACAGTTCCAATAAAACATAAAGGAAATGATTTATTTGCTGCTTGTTCCTGAACAGTTTCGGTAATACGTACTGGAGTATGTTAGAGTTTGGCGGAGTACTTTGAGCTATTAATAGAAACAGAAGGCTGTGTGCCAGAACTGACCAGTTGTCAGCAAGGACTAGTACCTTTTTATCTCACATTCCAAGACATGAATTTATGTCTCTTTTCTTCTGTCTTCCCTTTATCACTTGGAAAGATTTTGGGTTCATACTGTAACAATGGCAATACTGGGTTCACCTAATCTAGTACCAGTATTCTACCTCCAAGAGTAGTTAGTTAGATAGGTTAAAAGTGTTAGAATGGACAAAGTCACCAACCAGTTCCAATCTAGGGGCTTCTTAAGGTGAATGTAGTGTCTATGGCTTTTTGCCCATGTATTTAGTAACCTTCCATGAGCTTGTCCAGTTATCCTTTGGATCCACGTTTCAGGATTCACAACATCCTTTTGGGAAGCAGTTTCAAAGATTGGTTCCCTATTCTGTGAATAACTAACCCTTTTGTTTTGATAAAATTCCTACTAACTACATTAGCTGCCCCTGAATGTAAAATTGTTGCTTTTTCCACATCTCCATACATGTTCTTGGTAGAACTCCACCATATGCCCGTTTCCTGATCTTGTCTCAACAAGCAGGAGATTTGGCTGATTAAATCTTGCCCTTCCTTACTGCCCTCTTCTGAACTTAACACAGTTCAGCCTTCTCTCACCTTGAGATGGAGGGCCAAAACTAGACAGTGTTAAAGACATATGGATTTACTGGTTTTCCTCTGTTTCTTCCCTAGTAATTCTAGCCTTAACATTTGATCTGTTTTCCCCAACTGCTACTAAGCATTGAACTGATATTTTAATGAAACTATCAATCGTAACACCAAAACCATGCTTCTGAGATGTATCGATCAGCCTCATAATTTTAAATGTAGAATTAGGACTTGTTCTTTCTTCCTTCATGCACATTATATCTATCTGTACTGAATTTCATCTGCCATTTCTATTACAGTGAGCAATGTAGTCCTTCTGTAATCCCTCATGACGAATCCGTTGTACTGTGACTAATGACTAGTATCATCAGCAAACACTGTCACCGCAGTGTTCATTCATTTCTCCATTTTTTTCCTGACCATGCTGAGGAGCACAGGTCTCTGTAGGACTCCACTAGAAAAACTTGCCATTAACTGGTAAATAGAAATGTCCAAAGTCCTGAAAAATGGCTATGGAATAGAAAACCTAGAGTCTTGCTCAGGTCCAATTTAATTGTATCAGTAAGGTCATACTAAAGATGATTCAGTTAAGATCAATTTTGGTAATTCATAAATTAAAACGTCATTTAGAAAAGAAAAATCAATGACAGTGATCTTCAAGAAGGCCTTACATTTTTCATCTTAAATGGCTATAAAGCACTGTACAAACTATTCCTCATAAAATTTTCTATAAATTCAATGCCATCAGTCACTATTCATGTATATACATCACCACAGTTGAGGGAAAAATAAGTTAGTATCTCGTTCAGCTATAACAACAGACATAAATTGCTCAGTCAGACAGAAGCTAATTCTCAGACAGATAATTTGCTCAGGTAACTGGTACCCAGGATTCATGAAGAATGTTGCCTGGTTTTTAGTTGTATGAATCTAGCATTATAAAGTGTTACATACCACAGGAACTCAAAAAACTTTAAAAGATAACCGTTAAGATTTCAATTTTAGGTGCCATTCTGAAGCACTGTATCCCTCCCTCCTAAACTAACTTCAACAAAAGCACAGTAGATTTACCTTCTCAATTTTTATACCATCCACTTCAGAGCCAGATGTTTTTTTTTTACTATGAATGCCTCAAAAAAATAATATGACCCCTCACCAGTTCATAAAGTATGAGAAGGTTATAGCCTGAAGCAGTATAATTAGTTCCAAGGTCATCATGATCTTTTTAAAATGCTAACTTTTTCTTTACAAATGTAGCTAACTTCAGTTTTCTACCCTGTTTATATCCTTAACTTTGCTTCTTTAGTCAAGTAAAGGTTTTATCCTTTTACTAATAAATAAAAGGATTTCTCTACAAAGGGAAGTTAATCTGTGTTAAATGAGGACAGGCATAATGGATCATTTGTTTTGTAAAAGGGAGTTAATTTGGAATAAAACATTTATTCTGGAACAGAGAACACAAGTTCAAAGAGGGACCAAACAAACTTGTGAACAACAGGTCCATAAAATGAGATTTCAGGCCTGAGGTAGGGATGTCCCCTGCAACATCCCTAGCAAAACAACTGCAAAGTATGAATGGAAAGACACAGAAGTGGCCAGGCTCACATGCATTCCCAAAATAACCTCTCCTATTGGCCCTAGTGGAGACAGAACACTGAGCTAGATGGACAAAAGGCTTTTTATCATTGCACGTCTGTGTGGCACCACCAAGCAGAGGTTGAAAGTACTGGTGAAGGCCAATTGCTGAACCGGAATGCTCATACTCTTGTAGCTGGTTCCCACTGCAGACAGGAGATTCCATCTGCTGGGATATTCCCAGTATAGATAAGACTGTTAATTCCTCAAAAGTATAATTCAGCACGTTAATAAGGTCCAAATTAATTTTAAAGATGAGTGTGATTACTCTCATCCCTCCTCAAATACTTGCTTTGTGATTCTTTAAAAACATCTTTGAAAAACTAATGAGTGACTGCAGTTTACAGAACATAAACAAGTGTGTACAGTTCTTGTAGCACAAGTATATGAACCCCTTACCTTTTGGGTAAA